ACAAACATGGTCATAATCACGCGTTAAATTAATGAGTTTAAATGCTATTTTTGGCTTTAACTATTGCACACACAAACACACACACACACACACTCAGGTTTAATTGAAGCCAACTTGAGGCAGCCACACAGCGTCTGTGGAGTGTCTCAGTTTCGAGTTCGGGTTCGATCCGGCGGCCCCGGCTGCAACTTCCTCCCGGTTGCCCCGCAAATTATGAGAGACTCAGAGCCAAGTTCAGGCTCAGGCTCAGGCTGAGGCTCAGGCTGAGGCTCAGCTTTGGGCCAACCGGCTTCGACCGCGGCGGCTATATTAAATTTATTTTAATGCCAAACTCCAGCTTCAGTTTCCAGCCCGATCTGCAGCTCTCCGCTCACATGGCCAGTGGGCATGGATTTTATATTTTCTCCCATGCCGGCCAGTTGGCCCAAATCGCGTTTCGCTAATTATTAACCCGATCCCTTTTCCTCCGCTGCAGATGAGTTGGATCCCATCGATAGGTAAGTGCAGATGTGGGGTCAACCGAGATGTGGAACAATTTTCAGAGCCATCTGGCATATGAATAAGGAAAGGTCAAGAGAGCGGAAAATAGGAGTCGCAAGAAGAGGTCGACTGTGATTCATATGCTAACGGATTTCCTAGATGCCAAGATAGGTGAATCAGCCGAGGGCTTGTGGTGATCTATTACCAAAGCAATATAAGGATTCCAACCATTAATAAAAGTTGGGGTGTTTGAATAACTAAAACTCTGTATTTATAATTTGAACAATTAATTGGTTTTAACTTGGCTCTTAGGCCTCGAAATACAATTTTAAAAACATAATGCGTTGTGTTTATTTTTCCCAGTTAACCAATCAAGTCAATTATCACGCAATAGAAATTACCTTATTATTTATGATATTGTAAGCCACAACAAAAACAACCGTAAACCGTTCATGTTTTTGTCGGCACGACGTCAGCCACATTGTTAATAATTTTTTAATACCTCCATAATTAAGACGAAGGCAATTTGCCATTTGCAGTTTGTTATTTTTTTTCCCCCGCTTTTGCGTAAATGAAATGAAATTAAGGCAAGGAGCCGGCGGTAGTTAGAGCCAGACAACGTCAAAATCAACTTGCCAGATACTTATTACATTGGCCCGAAGTCGCTTGATGATTATTGGCATTACGTGGACGTGCATAAGTTGAACTTACTGGCAATATAATTAATTTATACTTAAACTCTCTGACAATTTCAATGTTGCATGCAGCTGGCGCAGAGCCGGCCGAAAGCCGCAAACAACCAGCTCGACACACAAATTGCTTGGTAATTTATTTGCAATTAATTTTGAATTAATATCGACGAAAGACGAGCGGGCAAAAAATGTCTGCGAAGGAATTTGGGTCTTGTCTTGGCGGAGGAATTGGGGATTGCAGTTTTTATGGGGCACCTCAAATGAGGGGTATAATGTGTGAAAAGCTTTTATGCCACGAATCTAAAAAGTTAACCGCTCCAAGACACGGCCATTTATCAATGCATCCACCATTTAAATTACCCTCGCCCCACCCCTTTCGGTGCCGACAATGGGCCATCATCTTTGGCTCATTTGCAGTCAATTTAGCGCTCACGTGGTTAGTCATAAAAATTTTTGCACAGAACATTCATTTAATAAGCAATTATTGCCTGGTCCTCTTTAATATTTTGTTCGCTGCCTTTCTGCTGTGTTGCATTTACGCGTCAAGACTTTCAACTAATTACAAACGATTTACATGCAACACAGCTGGGCGTACGATAACCAGGGCCAAGAACATTGGAGCAAGAACCAGGCCAGGTTTTCGCCTCTCAGCCCAGCCCGGATAATCCCGCCCGAGAATTTGCAACATTTGAAGCAGAATGCAGAAACCGGTTGGCCAGCAACCCAGGAGGATGACACTGCAGCCAGAGAGAGGGGAAAAAGCAAGGAAAACACCCACAAATCCGCTTGGCACGCACGTAACATGCGCGTAGAACACGCGGTTCATTGCGCATGCGCAGCGCGCTCTTCGCCAGAAGCAGTGCAATTTGTGATCAGCTTATAATTAGCTGCGCTCGCATTAGAGCCACATCCGTGCTCGACTTTCACCAGCTGGCGAGCAAAGGCCAAAGGCTTGGCCGGCGGACGGCGGCTCATTAGACGCCCATGAGTCACCCAGCGGGTTGGCTAGCCGGCTTTCAAGAGCCGCCGCCTTGGCCCCAAAAAAGATTGGAAAAGCTCCGTACAGCTGCGTAGTCAGTGGGTCCGTGCAGATCAGACCTCGTAATTAGTTGTAATATATCTCCTGACAAGTCAAGTCCGTTTCGGTTAGGGTATTTTTCGGGTATTTTTTTGTAGCTTTCAAGAGTGAATACAATACTAAATCCTGTATTTTTAGTTGCCATAAAATGCAGGAAATTCTTTCATACCATTCTTTAATAAAGATTCCACTCCCAATAAAAATAGTTTCCACTACAAAATTCTTGACACTCAAAATGTGTTTAACTCATTTGACTGAGACAAAATTTGGTTTAATTTTGCACATCTTGTTGAATTGTTTTGTCCTGTTAATTTACCCATTAAATTATCTTTTTTCAGTACCTACAAAAACTTGCTAAAAAAAAGGAAAATACCCAAGAAAGTGTGTCAATTCGTTTCATTGGGTTCCTTCTGGCAAATTAATTTTCAATAGATTGTACTTATAACTTCATTTTTTCCTCTGGCCTCTAATTCGATTTTTATTGCACCTGGATTTTCTTGTTTGGCGCTGCCAATAGACAATTTATTTCTCATGTACACACATTTTCCTCAATCGCCGCTCGAGTGTGTGTGCTGATTATTTCGCGCTTATTATTTGCTGCCTTTGAGCTTGCGAGCTTTTTTCTTTACTTTTTGCTTAATTTTCAATAAATGTTGCGGCTTTGTTGCCGCTTGTCTCTCCGTCGCAGTCGATTACTCATTTGACTGCATGCACATAAATTTTGTGCACTTTTCCATTTTTTCCTTTTTCTATATTTTGATTGCTTTATTTTTTATTAATTGCTTTTTACAGCATTTTGTTAGTGAGTGCCAGGCGGCGGAGGAGATACATAAGTAGTATCTCGGTGGCTCTGAGTGTGCGTGTTGTATCGTGCGAGCTGATTGTGTCATTAGAGTGGATCGCATTCGACGGATACTGAGACTCCGACAGAGACAAAGCGGCCCAAATGCCACAAAATGCGGTCGAAGAGATACTCGAGACCATGGAGCGAATTGATTTGCCATTAGAATTGGGTCAACAATCGGTAAACGCTCGAGTTTAATTGGGAATTTTAATGGCTAAATTACAAAACACCATATTGGATATGGTAAGTTGGTATGCCAAGGAGAGTTTAAAATTCATTTTAATTGGGGGCGCAGCTTAAGGTGGTTTATATTAAAAGTTTATTTATAAAAGATACATAGCAAATCTAATGAGCTAATGTCTTGAAATTAAACTAAACTGTTATTAAATACTTAGAACCAAACGATATATAAGAATGCAAGCATGAAGGCTCCTAATCTTATTATGGGAGTACTTTATGAGGACTCTTGTTGGTTTATTTTCATATCATTGACACACTTCCACAGCCTCAAAAACTCCCGAAGCTGATCCCTTTATTTTCAAACTCATAACTTAAGCATTTTTACGAGCAACGACAACAATCGCCCTAAGTCCCAAGTCGGAAAAAAATTAGGCAAAATAAACTTGAAAATAGAACTCGCATTGATCAGCAGATCGCTTGTGGTTCTTGCTCGGGTTGTAGTTGGCTGATTCGCCACCAAACTATGTGCCACAAGGCAACAAGCAACACAAAAACTCAAGAGCCCGAACAAAACCAAGCTGCGAACCAACGAGGACATGCGAAATTTTTATTTATTGCTGACAATTGCACAAAAGTTTTTTCCCTTCTGTGATCGGTTTTTTATGGTCATTAAAATTGGGACAAAAATATTTTGACCGCGCTCGAAGTCAAAGTTTTTTGCTTTGTTTCTGTTGTTGGTTTCATTTTGTTGTTTGGCGATTCTAGAGCACGACTGTGACGGAGAGACGGCCTGGGGCTTGAAATCTTGAGTTCTTGAGTTCTATGCCGCGGATTTGCCCTTGATTGCCCAGGTTGCAACATTCTGCGGCCGCTGGCCGATCGAAATGATTAGGCGGGTCCAAAGCGGCGACTAATTAATGATCCGTCGCCCGGGCTTTGCATGCTAATTAAATGTGAGCAAGAAATCAATTTGGCGATGTGAGGCATACACGTGAGTCACGAGGGGAGTGCAATCGCAGCTTGGATATGTTTATATATGTATATAGATGAAACCAGAGACAGGAGCATGAGCTTCATGCTACCGAACGTATCACGCAACCTACACTTAGGGGACTTTTCTAAGTAGCCCCTTTAGGGACAAACACACAGTGATATACAGTTGCGGTCAGAATAATAGCACAAGATAGTCTTCTTCAGTTGCAAAAAATTTACTTTGTTCAGGGAAGAAGCTTATAATAATTTCATAGCTAAACGACATCAATGTTTAACTTATCTAAAGAGTAATAATTTTCAAAGTAGAAAATGTGTAACGGTTTCGAAAATATTTCAATAAAACTAAACATCTAAAATGTTGGTTTTGATTTTAGAATTTTAAAAATATTTCTTCGACTTAAAAGAATCTAAAAATATAAGTTTTTTATTTATACTTTCAATTGTTGCTTTAACTAAACTTTAAAATCCAAATCTGTTCTTTAAAAAACTCAAGTGTGGAAAAACAATAACAATATTACCAAAAAAAATGTTTAAGGATCTAAATAATCTTATTTTAAACGAAACCTTTCCTAACAAAACAATACTTTTAAATAGCAAATTTTACATTTTTTAGGAATGAATCCTTGTTAATTTTTTTTTGGGTTACCTAGTGCTATTATGCTGACCGCAGGTGCGGCAGTTGCTCAGCTCAAATAGGGATATTGCATGAATTCAGCGATTCTGTTCGACTCACCGACTCGGTCTTAATGTTGAGCGCCAGGACGTGGGAGGAGCTGTTGGAGGAGGCCGACGGCGGTGAAGCGGGCGCCGCTCCGCTGCACGGCGACTTGGCGGCGGTGGTGGCGGTGGCGATGGCGTTCAGCGGCGAGCGGCTGCTGGGCAGCGGACTGGCCTCCCGGAGCGGACTGCTGCCCGCCCCCGCTCCGATGCCGATGGCCATGCCGAGGCTCTGGGAGAAGGGCGACACCGGCGACTTGTTGGCACTCGTGGAGCAGTTGGAGGGCACCACGGCGGCCGTGGTGCAGCTGGTCAATGTGCTGGTCGCCGAGCTCGAGGAGGAGGAGGATGAGGAGCAGGACGACGACGAGGACGAGGAGCTGCTGCTGTTGTTCGCACTGCTGCCCTTGTTGCATATCATTGCCTGCATTTTGGTATTGTTGATATTATTGTTGTTGTTGTTGTTGCTGCTGCTGTTGTTGTTGTTATTGTTGTTGGTGGCATTGGCATTGTTATTGTTAACACTTGCCCCAGCGCCTGGCATCAGACTGCCATCGCAGAACTCGCGCTTCACAATGTTGCTGCCGCTGTTGCTCGTGTTGCTGGTGTTGCCGCCGATGTTGCTGCTGCTGTTGCTGCTGCTGCCGCTGCTGTTGCCGCTGCCGCCGGGTGTCGCCCCAATGGCCGCCTCACATGGCAGCACCGTGCCGAGCATCTTGTCTAGCGTTGTGTACTGTGACTGTGACGTCGTGGATTCAGCGGCACCGGCGGAGTCCTCGCAGCCCTCGGCCATGTCACGTGTCACTGACCCGCTCGCATCCTGGGCCACTCCTGCAATGGCCAATACAAAGGGCTCTTAAGTACGCTGTGCGCATTAAATATTAAGCCCATAATGGGAGGAACTTAAAAAAAAAGACACTTATAAAAACACCGCTTAAATGGACGAAGGATGAAGCGCACCTCTTCGCAAGAAACAATATTGTCGTGTACTTAATTTGTATGGAAGTATAAAGAGGTAAGGTACTTAAATTGTTTAGCAGACTGTTAATATGATTCAAATAGAAAATATTAATTGAAATAATTCAAATTAAATATTTTAAAATCTGTTTTAAGATCAATTATATGCTTCAGCTTCAAACATAACAAGAAAGGAAGCTAGCTTCGGCAAGCCGAAGCTTATATACCCTTGCAGTCATCAAATATTTCGAAAATTTTATTTGCTATTCAAGAGTCGTTAGAAAACTCTATATTCCAAAAATCATGATTTTCTGATAAGAAATAACAATGTTATCATTTTATTTCCGTTAATTCTATATAGATTTTTCGATCTTTCTTATGGCAGCTATATGATATAGTTGCCCGATTTTTATGAAATTTTTTTTATAAATCAAGGCTAGTTAAAAAACTTGATACTCAAAAAATCATGCTCGTGGGATAAAAAACAGCGATGCTATCAATTTATTTCCATTAATTCTATATATATTTTTCGATCTCTCCTATGGCAGCTATATGATTGAGTTATCCGATTTTGATCAAATTTAATCTGAAATTCAATAACAGTTGGAAAACGCCATCTTGCAGAATTCAAGTCGATCTGATGAAAAACAACGGCGGGAGAATTTTTCATTTCATTCCCTCGTATGGGAGCTATCCGATATAGTCGGCCGATCCGGCCCGTTCCGACTTATATACTGCGTGCAATAACTACACACCTTTTGGAAAAGTTTCAGCAAGATAGCTTTAAAACTGAGAGACTAGTTTGAAGAGAAACAGACAGACGGACAGACGGACAGACGGAAAGACGGACAGACGGCCAGACGGACAGACGGACAGACGTACAGACGTATTCTGATTCTACTCGTGATGCTGATCAAGAATATATATACTTTATGGGGTCTGAGGTGTCTCCTTCACTGCGTTGCAAACATCTGACTGAAATTATAATACCCTTTTGCTCTGCAAGGGTATAAAAATAGCAAAGAATGTAGCTAAACAATAGATCGCCACAGAAATAAACAACCACTTAAAGAAATAGTAGGGGGAGCAAATTCAAATATGCAAAGCTTGCAATTACCATATACCAGTGCAAAATTGCCCCTTCTCACCCTTGAAATATCAAATGTCGTCTGGCTGCACACCCGCCTCTCACCTGAGACTTCTTCTACAATGTTTGGCCGCCAGGGGCATCATAATTTAGAATTTACATTTATCGAAAATATTTCGTGCACTTAAAACCCACACCCAGGCGCATTAATTTCATTAATTATCCCTGTTGCCCGTCGGTTGACCACGGCAACAACGCACAAACAACAATAAGAGGGCTAAGAATCGAAGGGGGATAAAGGGGGACTGAGGGGAGGACCCACACACGCCGCATTATTTTGCAAATGCAAAACGTAGCCGGCATTCGAGTCGGCGTCCGATTCTGAGGCCATGTCCTTCCAAGCCACGACGTCCTGCATCGGACAACGAACGACTTTTACCGCCGGAATTGCGAGGAGGAGCCTACACATAAAAATAATTGGTAACCAATGTCTTTAACTTGAGCAGAAATGTATGTATATTGATTATTAAGCATTATTGGAAAAATCTATGTTTAAAACATAAAATCCAAGCATGCTACTTATTTAAAACAACAATCTTCTGTAATTGAGGAACACGATTTTTAATCATTCTCACAGATGATGATCAAGAACTTATTGCTAAAGAGATTGTAATAAAGCAGAGTATTAAAGGAAGTTAACATGTTTGTATAATTTTTAGTGGTATATTTTTTAATTTTAATTCTAATATAATATTTTTTAGTGTATATTTCGGCTTGATGGACACAAAAGCCAGAGCATACGGGTGGTTTCTGCACAGGAGGGATGCAAGTAATGCGGATTGGGGTTGAGGGTAGCTGGGTGGTCTGCACAGTCGTAATCGAAAATTTTACACCTACTCTGCATTATAATTTATACCCGAAGAGGGACAACTGACCAAAGAGTGTGCGGGGCAGGGAAATGTGGCGAACGTGTCTGGCAAGAAAGTTTTTCCTGCACACAAGAAGAAGGAAAACACGATGGGAAAATTAAGAGTGAGATGGAGGAAGGAAGAAGGGGGAAAAGTCCGAAAATGTTGTCCAAGAGCAGGGGAAAGGATGGAAAGCTATCTGGGAAAGTTAACGATAATGGGAAGAAAAGGCTTAGGCACGCACTTCAAGGAAGGACAAACCGGCAAGGGATTCCGGCAATCGTCACTCATCTGAAATAGATTCCACTAAATGTCATTTCTTACGGGCTCAGGATGCAACAGCAAACTCCAATACTAAGCCGGACCAAAAAGCGACTAAATTTGGGCAACAATTTGCACTAAAGAGCTTACCTAACTGCAATCCACAAAGGAAACATCAATGCCTATGCCTTGACATTTGGCCCCGAAAAACAGGAGCCGACATTCTCAGCCAAAAGAAGGGGTAGAAAAGGTCCTTCGTTGCATTGTCTGCAGGTCTACACAAAACGGGCGTTGATTTTAATGCATAATGCATACAGCTGGCTCCTGTCCCTTCCACTCCCTTGGACCCCGAACCCCTTAAAAAATCCCAGACTCGCAGGACCTCCTTCCATGTGTGCGTGTCTGCAGTTGTAATAATGCAAGCAACTGCACTCGGAACTCAGAACTCGGAACTCGAGTCGCAGTCGGACTCGAACTTCTGCAGCTCGGATTCGGACCCTCAGCTTGCTGTTGTCAATATACTGACAAAAAATATGTTTATATTAGAGTAATATAATATAAATAAATAATATTTAAATGTCTGGTATTATAATAAGCATTTCGCTTAAGAGATATATGTAAAGAAGTTGCTAGAGAAATTGGTTTGCATGCTAGCTTGCCAATATTATTGTGAGTATTAAAGATAGAAGAGGCATTCACTTTTCAAACGAATGTCAATGTATGATTACATACAATTTAATTTCAAAAATATTCAATTTGTAATATTTAAAGGCTTACAAAATTAAATATTCTTTATGGAATTAAATATAAAAATAAAATAAAGTAAATTACAATTACCAATAGGTATACATATCATAGTTATTTTTCTAAGTGCTCATTGTTTGTGTCGACGTTGGCCAGCCGGCAGCAGTCAACGAACGCACTTTTCCGGCCACACAGCCATCGCAGTAATGAGCCACAAGAGGCGGGGAAGAAGGGGGATCAGAAGGAGGAACGGAATGAGGATCAGAGGGGGGAGGGGGAACGCCAGGACTGTGCCTCAAAAGTTGGAGTGTGCAGGACATGCAACGCCGATGGCTGAGTCTGAGTCCGAGCCTGAGCAAAGCTTCGTGTAGTAGATTTTGGCCAGGAAAAGGCCGGCTTTTCGGGGTGGCGAGAGGGCGTAATAATTAATTTCGTACGTTGCATGCAAATGTCTGGCCACCGCCCCCTCCACAGGAACAGCCCTTCTCGGGCAGTTGGCATATGCATAAGAAGCAAAAACAATGCATAATATCAGGAGCAGCAGCAGCAGCAAAAACCGAGTGCACATCGGCAACATAGAAAATAATTTCAAGTATGCGTCAACAGCAAATGCCAAAAGCTGGCGAGGATGGAATCTAAGGGAACGTTGCTGGCTTCTAGTTGCAAGTCGGTGCAACATGTTGTGAAAGCAAATTGTAGCGACAAAATGTGCAGCCAAATTAAGTACAATTTGCGCATATTAAAGTCTGGCCAAATTGCACAGAGGCAGCAGCAACAGCAGCAGCAATAGGAAAAAACCAGCAACATGCAACAACGGCAACATTTTGTCGCTTCCTGCGATCGCCGCTCGCCTCGAAATCTAATCAATAACCAGCAAACTAGTAGAATTTCATGTAGCACACTAAATAGCACGATTAATTATCGCCATGCTGGCAACTATAATTCAAATCGGGCTCGCTTCATTTTTAATGCACGCCAGCAACATGCCATCCGCAACGCTCCTATCGACTTGCAAACGCATTACAAACCGGTCTAATTATACTCATTTTCTTGCTGCCTGCCACATGTTGCTGCTGCCAAGCTATAAATTGCAATTTCCATGCAACTTTCTATCGCCGGTTAAGAAGCGAGCTGAAAAAATTGATCATTCAAGTTGCTCCTCCGCCGGATCACATCGCTCCGGATCGGTCCGATACTCCGATACTAGTCATACTCGAAGTCGTAGTCTGCGTCTTAGTCGTTTGGCGAGCGTTTTGTCTTCGACGGCAATTCGTAGGCAATATTCAAATTAATAAAATCATCAATAATTTCGCCCGGGCCGGCAAACATGTAGAACATGTTGCTGCTGCAACGCAGCAACTTGTTGTAATTAATAGTCAAACTAAATTGTACCACACTTGCCATCATTTAGAGTTAGGAGCCAAATGTGGCACAAAGCAATTTTTGATTAGAAACCGGGCACTAGAGCCCCGGCCAACGGACATCGATCCCCCTTCCCCCTTCCCCCTTCCGCCATCCCCTGGACTGCCCCCTCGGCCCGGGACAACTTCATTTTTATGGCCAACTCTGGAGCTATTAAATTTTTCTTTTGATTTGTAATTAGCGCAAAATGCATATTAAATAGCAAACGACAAACCCGAGTGCCTCGGCCTTTGAGGAAGTGAGTGGAGGTTGTGGCAAGCGAAGGAGAAGGAGTTTCGGGCTCTTACCTCCGGCCGTTTTCGGCTGCTTTAGCCAACTTTTACCCTGGCGAAATAATCAATAATGCGCCGGCATTAAGTCATTGAGTTGAACTTATTTATGCAACATTTATTTACGCACACACACAGAGGAGCATAAAAAGTTTTGCAAGTTGCCTTTGTTGTTCAAGTCGA